TTTAACTCTGAGTTACTTAACTCAGGATTTAATCCATGTTTATGAAACCCAAATTTAACTCGGAGTTTACTAACTCAGAGTTAGTCTTAACTCAGGGTTAAAGTTAATCCACGACTGTGGAACCGGGTCCTGATCGGTACTGCTCGTGCTGCGTACCCCCCCCCCCCCCCCTATACATTTCAACGTTGCCGTCGACGCTACCGCTTTGATAATATATCACAAGGCAAATTGGTTTCTGCTCGAGAATTCAAATATTTAATATTTCAGTGCCGCCGCTCGTTTTCCCATTAGTAAAATTAATTCGACGGACCGTGTACGCATTGTCGTGCGGCAGGCCGATAGCCGATCCGTCCCCGCGTGTGTTCAAAAGCTTCTTACGATGAGTTTATTAAACTAATCTTGCAAACTTGAGAGGCGCAATGCCAACTGGTCGGACTCTGCGGCTTCATGCTATATACGCGAAGCAAATTTGTTAAATCGATAAAATTTGATTTTCGACGGGAATATTGGCGATGAGATATTTCCAGTAATTACTTGTACAGTAGCGTGTCTATATATGTCGTATAGTCTAGTATGTGTGTACTAGCGATAGTGAGATTTCATCGTCGTCGTTGTTTCTTATTGATATTTCGTTTTTAGTTCTTCGCTGCGATGGATTCTTAATTAAACCGAAATTCTGTGCTTGACGATTCTATTGTTGTAATTGTAAAAAAAATTCAGGATTGCCTTTCATTTGTACGTGCGAAAACCGTTGTGGGAATTCGCACGAGCAAGAGTGAATAAATTCCAGGACGTTATCAAAGGAGGGAAGAGTAAAGTTAGTAAGTAAGTAAATAAAAACTTTATTTAACGACGGTAAAACATGTTAGGTACAGACACAATAAATTGGCGCGGACCTATCTTCCATATGGCCGTCTCACAGCAACAGAACGGTTAAATATTAAATAAATACACAATAAGAGTTGAAGTACTTGGACTAAAATTGTACGGGGTAAGTAGAGCACAATGGGCCCTATTGATACGGCAAGATTTTCTTTAGAGGGACTTTAAAAGAAGAAATGGTGGGGGCATCTCGAACGGCAGGAGGTAAATTATTCCATTCAGATGCCGCCGCACACCGAAAAGATTTTCGTAGAATTTCAGTGCGTGCACGGGGCGGATACAAACGCGCTTCATCTGAACACACACTTCGCGTCCGTCTGGAGCTCACTTCATGTTTAAAAGATAGGCAGGTGCCTGCTTACGTAAAATTGTGTAAGTTAAAAGAGATCGATGGTAATAAAAACGTTGGCGAACAGTCATAAAACCTAGCTGCGAAAATATTTCTTCAGTGCGGGCGTCTGAAGGTCTACGAATGTTGAGAAACAACCGCGCAAAACGTTTCTGCAGGTTAAAAACTTTGTCAATATAACTCTTCGCGGCATTTCCCCACACAACAATACCATAATCAATATCAGGCAAAACAAAGCCTAAGTAAAACTTCAGGCAGGAATCATGATAATCAGAAAGTTATATCTGATTGCGCGTGAGAATAAAATAGGGGCATTGTGTAGCTAAGTTAATTTGACAAGTTGTTTCGTCTGTGGGGATGTGTGTTTGTGTGTGTGTGTGTGTGTGTGTGTGTGTGCGTGCGTGCGTGCGTGCGTGCGTGCGTGCGTGCGATGTGAATCCTCTAATACTTGTTGGTACTCACGATTCTATAGCTACTACAGCATCTGAGATATGATATATGCACCGATTAGGTGTGAGAACAAATATAGGGCATTGCGTAGCTAGTTGTATCGTATGTAGGGATGTATAATGGGCGTGTGATGTAAATCTTGTAATACTTGTTGGTACTCTAGAGCACTACTGCATCTGAGATATGCTAATCTGGCATTGCATTCATCGGATGATGTTGGCTGAAGCCTAACAAAACTGATTCGTTCACTCGATCGAAATCGCGCATTCTTAATACATGGTAATGCGGTGGCGTGTGTGCATGTGCGGCTAGTGTTGCTGCGTTTGTGCGTGGGCGCATGCCTGTGCGTGGTTAAGGAGTGTATGCGTGTTCATGAATGGAGGAGAGATGAAAACGTGCGTGTGGGTGTGTATGCGTATGAATGCAGTAATGAACGTAACCGCTTGACAGGCTATTGTAGGTTTGTCATTTCATACATCCTTAATGTGAATTTATTTATAGCACTATAAAAAACGACACGTGCGAATCATAGTCCTTAAAGAATAAAGATTGTATAATTCTAATTATAATAGGTAAATAATTTGCTTGATTAGTACTTATTCAACAGTTTATATAAATGGTAATAATTAGTCTTAATTCTAGTTCATCAAACGGCAGACTCTGTAATGACGTCCGCCATGTTTATTGTTTAATTACACAAATTTCAAAAAAGAAATTACCTCCGTTGTTCGCCTTTGTTCCTCCTATACGGAAGAGTTAATTGACCAACTAATATTAATTAACAATATACAACAATAACAATTATTGTTAAATATTATATAACAATAGTTAATGAACTTACTGGAAAAGACCAGCTAGATCAGTGGTTCTTAACCTTTTTTGAGTCATGAACCCCTTTGAGAATCTGGTGAAATCTACGGACCCCTCCCCAGAAAAATGCACATAAAGTGATTACAGACTAAGGATGAGTTAAGGTGCAACTACGGACCCCCCTGAAGCCCATCCACGGACCCCAAAGGGGTCCATGGACCACAGGTTCAGAACCCCTGAGCTAGGTATTGACGCTGTTAGAATTGATGGCAGGATAGCGTGTAACCAATCCACTGCGTAGGAGTTACGATACGTGACCTATATTCGTTATTACCTAACGAGTAAAACACGTCAAATTGGCTTTCCACACTCTCGCGTGCAAACACTAGCCTCCTAATGGCAATTGATCGGCAAAAGGTGGGGATGTGTTTAATATCTTTACTTTCCCTGAAATGCTGTATATATCTCATTTGGATATATAAGGCCACGACTACCTCGTCATTGTTCTGAGGTGTATCTCACCATCGTCGAGAGGTATATGACTCGTGTATCTGCTAGGAAGGTTCGGGAGGTTCGGGAGTGGGCAGAATTGTCGCAGTGATGACTGTGCTATACACGGCAGCAGTCTGTAGTCGAAAGCAAACCTTCAGCCAGCAGCGTAGGGTCGTTCATTAAGTGTTTATACTTGAGAAGAAGCTGCCTTATATGCGGTAATTGTAAAAGCTGGGGGAGACTCGTGAGTTGTAAGATGCGTCTTGTCGAGTGACCCTGATTTTGTTTGCGGGCTGTGCTTGGCTACGTCATTACGCTCGCTTCTAGAAGGACCACCAGGCGAAATATGGCGCATGGGCGGGAAGTACAACATGGCGGAACACACGTCTGCTCATGGTAAAGGTCACTCGTACTACGCCAGTAGCGGGTTACGAGCGAAACAGCAGTTACTTGATATTTAGAGGTAGGCCCCTACGCGGCAAAGGGCACTCGTACTACAGCTGTTCGGTCACGTTATTGTGAGCCGAAGACTTTCTGCTGTAACATTCGTGCGCATTTTCCCCCCTTTATCATACCTTGTGATTATTGTTACGGGAAAAAAAATTACAAAAAATGGTTGCAGTAATCTCTCCACTCCCGGTACATTAAGGAAATCTATAGCTTCCCGTGGCTGTGTTAGGAAACCGAGCCATTAACGGGAAAATATCGTGCTCCTACAAAATTTACTTTTGAAAGGTCTCGCGCTGAATAATGAATAAAACGAATCTTTATAAGTGGCATAGCAGTTAATGGGCTAGCGAATAAACTTTCCGTATATAGTGCGAGCCGCGCCGCCGCCATGTCTGTAGATGAGTGTATAGCACCCAAGCATCTACAAGTGCAAACATTAGCGAACCCGCTTATTTTTCTTGTCTGAGAATGCTATGGCTTTGTAAATCTGCTGTCGGAATGTGAAGAAGGATCGGTAGCAGTTTAGATATGCATGCAGCAGCCTTTTGCATATTGCTGGGAACACTTTATTCTCCTGCTGATTGACTGTAGCTTTAAGCTCGGAGTGGAACTGGTTAGAGTTTAGCAATACGCTGTTAGTAGTTGTTCGTTTACTCCGGAGAGAATTCGGCCCCGGGATACGACCATGCCTAAACGCAGAACGTGGTCGATTTCTACTGATTTCCGTTGAAGCTCGAAGGCACATGCATATCGGAAGATGAGGAAACTAAACTCCACGGCCGAAACTCGCGTGGAACGAACATAATGACTGCCTTCGGGCACACCGATTTCCTAACCAAGTTTCCTTCCCCTGTCGCGTTTCCCTGGTACGCAGCAACCATAGTGAGTCGTAGAGCGAAACTGGCTTCTTTTCATATCCCACGAATCTTGAAATCGCAGCCGCAGAGATGGAAGGAATTCTTGTAGGACGTTGAGCATTTGTCGTAATTTCTCATATCTGTTGGCGTGCGATGAGCGCCGGGGATGGCTGTAGCGTCTGCCGAGAGTAGAAGTTACACTATCTAGGTGGCGCACCTATCTCCTGGTTAGATAACAACGATTAATGACCGCTGTCCTTCCCATCAGTGAATTTTGTGTTGCAGAGTTCAGTCGCTGTGCTTCTGATTCATTTAGGAACTGAATATTTTTAAAATTGTTTTGAATCGGTAAATACTGAAGCTCGTGGTTACGTGTTTATTTAATGGACACTACCTTTGGCTTCACATACACTTCTGATACACTTATGATTTCAGCAGTTGATTACTTTATTCAATGGGCGCTATTTTTTGTTACACACACACGTGGCTTCATATACCGTCACGTGGTTACTTTTTATTCAATTGGCACTACTTTTTTCTTACACAAACACAGTGGCTTTATATACCGCCACGTGGTTAACACTGGTTACTTTATTCAAAGGGCACTACTTCTTTCTAACACGTGTGGCTTCATATACCGTCACGTGGTCACTCTATTTAATGGACGCTACTTTTTATTACACTCGTGTGTGCTCTCAGTTGCCATTGTTCGGTTACGTTTTTTAATGGACGCTTATGTTTTTATTGGTTGCAGAACACCAGAGCAGGTGCCGAATGTCGTGTCGCTGCTCGCCGAATCCTACAACCCACACGTGCGCTATGGAGCTGCGATGGCGCTTGGTATCTCGTGCGCAGGAACAGGCAACAAGGTAGTGATGCTCAGCGTGTTCTGCTAGCATCTATGACAAATACGACATACGCGTATACGCTCTCCTATGACAAATATTGTTGTATGTGTTGTGCGCATCATAGGAGTTTAGGAGCGCTATTATGAACGCAAGCAGTGAATTTCAGCTGTAAAGCGGAACGAAGTTGACTCGCCAATATTTGTCATAGGAAGAATCTTCCTATGACAAATAGTGTCATAGGAGAGCGTATATGCGTATGTCGTATTTGTCATAGATATATACATGGCTAACGAAGCGGTCGAACAGCTCCGCAATGATAACAGCAGCAGCTCAACGCGTGTGCGAAAAGTTTCGGATAAACACACAAACTATATCATTATTGGTAAGGGCTTACCCGATTTATAGACAACGTATGATTTAAACCGCTTATAGAATTCTGTACTGAATGAATCTCGAATGATACATTTAACTTGTTTTATCATAGCAATGCTCTGTTAACAAATGTCACAAATTCGAACGCTATGTTTCCATAGTAGGAATTTGCTGATGAGGTGTTACAAGTGCAGCAGTAGTCGTGAGAGCTATAGTGCTTCAACAAGGATGCGCTCACAATAAGTATGTCTAATCACTCTCCCTGCGAGGTCACGCCGGTGCAAGGAGAGTACCAGGGTCTTACGGCAAGAGATTATTTAGCATCACTTGCGCTTTTCTGCGTGTGGAATCAGTTCCAGGGCATGTGTACGTGGAAGACGTGGTGCGGTTCAAATACGACATTGATGTGCAAAGGATTATTATTATTACTACTATTATTATTAATTGTAGCCTTTATCTAGGCACACTTGATTCCTTTAGATCTGTCACCGTTCCCAGCTGTCGGTTAGGTTGGCAATGAATGTGAATGTTTTATGAATTGATTGACAGTGTTTCCTTATAAATGTTATCAGTGAATGTCCCATTCGACGTTGTGTATGTTACGTTTTAAATACCAAACCCGGTACTGCGGATTCAATCATGGTGTGCGCGCGCGTGTGTGTGTGTGCGTGCGTGCGTGCGTGCGTGCGTGCGTGCGTGCGTGCGTGACGTACTCAATGCTCCAACCTCTAACATCCTCTCCAATTTGTGAAGCAACGTACGTCACAATGTTTTCGCATTCATTCATCGTCGTTGCCTACATAAACAGCCGATGAGAACTGCAGCATTGATTCATCAGAGCGCTCATTAGAACGAGAGAAAAAAATCTCCATCTCTTCTAGACGGTCGGCGCTATATGCATGCACGAATCGATATATGATAAGTGTCACGCCACAACATTAAAGACAGGCTGGCCCTCAGTTGACTCAGTAAAATGAGAGCGAGCCACTTTAACTCATTTACATTATCTAAGGCTCGTGTGAAAGTAAGTATGAAATCTCAATGTTGGCACAAAGGTGGCAAGTGCAGCAAATCTCTCACAACCTGCCAGCTTCTCTCTTCCTTCGTCAGCCGTCATTTCACTGCAGTAGTTCTAAGTTTTTTCTAAAAAAAACGAATAGAAAAAAGGTGGGAGAAACCACCACAAACTCGATGGTTTCTTGGAGATTGCGTCTCAATGGCTTCGTTCGTCTAATAGGATAACGGAACATTCAGCTTTGTTTTAAAATGCTAATTCCTATAGAATTTCGGCAAAAATTTTACTTTTGCCACAGAGCTCTTTGTGGGTCCCATAGTGCTGTCAGCCACTGAGTCTCTGCCCATTTCATTTGACACTTTGATTTAATTCTGCGCCCTAATAGTAAGAGTGTGTGATTTACATTTTGCTAACTGCTGTAGGCTGTGGTTTCTTCCTATACATATACCTATACCTATACCTATACCTATACCTATACCTATACCTATACCTATACCTATACCTATACCTATACATATACATATACCTATACCTATACCTATACCTATACCTACACCTACACCTACACCTATACCTATACCTATACCTAGGCTTAATCGGTCGTTATGTCTGTTTACGCAGGTGTCTACTGGAGGCGTCATCATGCTCCAGGATCTGAAGGACCAGGAACCAGAAGAGATCATCCAAGAGATTGCAGGTGAGTCATTACATTCACGCGTATCGTTAGACGGTGCGGTACGACAATCTCGTGCCGATTTCACGTGAACGCTTTCATGGGACTGTAGCGGCTGTATGCGTATGTACACTCGCCAAGTATCACGTTATTGAAATGACGTTATTTGTATTATCGCGGCAACGGTGACGCCATAAAAAGGCGTCTGCGTGAGACGTTAAAATACGCTTCGCTTGTTTTACGACTGCGGTAGCAGCGATGGGGATTTTATTAAAATCGCGCGCTAAAGAGCGTATCACGGAGTGGCTTTCCGCTCGCTTGTCTAGCCGAGTCCCGCTGAATAGCGAGCGCGAAATTACATAGCGCTGCGCCGGCTTTAAAGCTTTGCTCGCAGAATGACTTCATTGAAATTCTAAATATTTCACACGGCGTGCCGACCGAGTTGTTAACGCATACAGACCTTCTGTCCGCTTTCCGCGGTGGTTTTTTTTTATTTGCCGTAAAAAGAGGCTTTTCGTGCACCGATCACTACTACTCATTTCGTGAGGATTGACTATGACGGAAAACTGGACGATCTGTTACTGAGACTTGTCGGCACGTATCGCCATCTGACGGCGTGAATGTTTATTAAACTGATCGTTTTTGTTTCGCAGCTCATGGTCCAAAGGTGGCTGATGAAGAGGAGGCCGAGCCTGAACCACCGGAGCCGTTTGAATTCACCGAAGACACTTAGATGCTGCCGTATAAACAGTTCTACGTTAACGTCAAATAGCTTGTAAAAAATTAGCACGTGCTCAGGATTTACGATTGAACCTGTATAATATGTTGTCTTGGCAAAAATTTTGAGCATCTCTTTGGCAGATTTTGTAGTTCAGCTGCGCACAAATACGAATTTCGTTGTATGTTAACGGGATTTTTTCTTACTTTAAATTACTTACTATTGACTCAAAATTTCAAGTTAAAACTCCATTTGTTATTAATTTGTTAAGATAAACATACTTAACATATATCGGATTGTTTGAATCAAGGAATATCATTGTATGCTTGCAACTATACCTTGTGCTACAAAATTCAGGCCGTGTGTGCATGCATGCATTGATGCAGTTGAAACTTCACATTAATAAAAGCCAGTGCAAATGCAATTTTTTTTTACTTCGGTTTTCTTTTATTGCTCAAATTTACATCATATCATATCGTCTTGTATCATATAATATTATATCATGTCATCTTATATCATATAATATCATATCATGTCATCTTATATCATATAATATATCATAAATGTATTAGATTACATTGCTCAAATTACTCTAAACACTGAAATAAATAGAGATAACCAGCATTGCGATATTTCATAAATAGTGTTTCCAACAAACCAAATAACTTTTAATGCAACATCTTAATACAAATAATGCAATTTTTATAGACTTCGGTTTTCTTTTATTGCTTAAATTTACATCATATCATCTTATATCACACGAGCGCAATCACTAGGGTGGGGGGGTAACAACCCCCCCCCCCCCCTA